ACACCATATCTCAGGAGCTTTTTTCTTCTCCCAGAAAGTCAGCTATTACCAATTAACATCACGCAGGCGTTACAAGCACGCTCTGCATGCTCACGGCAGCCTGGGATATCATCAACTCCAGGTCCTCTCATGCCGTTATCAGACTTTCAGCCCCTGTAATAACACAGCAGTGAAGAGGATGAAAATAAGAATGGCTTACACTTCCTGAGCACGTGCGTGTGCTGGACACTGAAATGAAGACTTGACATGCATGCACTCATCTGCTCCTTACAATAACCCTGAGAGGCGAGGACTATTGCTACCTCCACTGCCCTGAGGCACAGAGAGGAAAGGCGACTTGCCTGAGGTCACACAGCTAAGACAGTAGATGTTCAAGCAACGTCTGTCCCTTGGAGGGAGGTCCTAACTTCTGCAAGCGCATGCTGAGTGGCCTGGCTGGATAGACAAGGCAGGACCTTATCCTCAACAAATTGCAAATATCCCTGACGGTGTGTGGCTGGCCCGTCCCCTCCTTCAGGCAGGGCTTGTATTAATTAGCCATTGCTGCCATAACAAAAGCCATACACTTAGTAGCTTAAAATAATGCAAATTTAATATCTTACAGTTCGGAGGCAAGTCTAAAATGAGTCTTATGGTGCTAAAACCAAAGTATCTTCAGGGCTGTGTTCTTTCCTGGAGGCTCCAAGGGAGAATGTATTCATTGTCTTTTCCAGCTTTTAGAGGTCACCTGCATTCCCTGGCTCATGGCCCCTTCCTCCATCTTCAAAGCCAGCAGTGTCTGATCGCATGCTTCTCACAACACATCACATCACGTCACCTCTCTCTCTCTGCTTCTCACATCACCTCTTTCCCCTTCCCCTCTCCCTCCCCCTCCCCTCCCTTCCCCATCCCCCCTTTTCTCTCCCCACCCCACCTCCTTCCCCTCTCCTCCCCACCTTTCTCTTCTGCCTCCCTCTTCCACATTTAAGGACCCATGATATTGGACCCACCTGGTGAATTCAAGATACTCTCACTACATAAGATCAGCTGATGAGCACCCTTAATCCATCTACAACCTTAATTCCCCTTCCCCATGTCAAGTAACACACGTGCAAGTTTAGGAACTAGGACACAGACATCTTTCAGAGGCCAATATTCTGCCTCCCACAGGGCTTCCCCTTTTCTTGCTCCATTTTGCAGGACAAACACAACTCCATCTTTTGAAGGACATTTCAAGAAAGAGCCAGGCCTTGGCGACATCTAAGAAGGTAAGAGCTAGATATGATCACATACACCAATCTGGGGAGTTGGGGACTTCCTTCTACCAAAACAGTGCAGAGAGATATGCTCAATCTAATTTTGATGATGATGATGGGTGAGGTGACATATTAGGTAGAGCAGGGCCAAGTTCTATGGGCTTTACAGAAATGAACTCTGGGTGGATGGGAAATCTTCTTCCTCCTGTGGCTTCCTGTGCTACTCCTCCTCACCCACAGCCCAGTGCAGCCACCAGCCCCACTTCTAGATGATCTTACCAAGCCAGCATTCGCTACCCATGCCAAAGTCTCCGTGTCTTTGGGTCCAAATTCCCAGGAAAGAGAGAGAGCAAATTTGATTGGTTCATCTCAGCCTATGGGTGAAGCCCTCTTGGGGTAGGTGTACTTCCCTTGCCTGATTGGACAAAGAATATCTTGGTCCTATCTGATTGGCTGGGGCCAGGAGGAGCAGGTGTAGTGGATATAAATGTCATCTGTGATAGGCAGAATAATGCCCCCCAACATCCCTCCCCCAGTCAGCTCAGCAAAGATGCCCGTGCAACCTGTAAATATGGAAATATGTTCCTTTGCATAGCAAAAGAGGCCACAAGTCAAGGGATGCAGGAGGCCTCTAGGAGCTGGAGAGGGCACGGAAACGCATCCTCCCCTAGAGGCTCCAGAAAAATCCTAGTTCTGCCAACACCTTGACTTATCCCTATGAGACCGCTTTTAGACTTCTGGCCTCCAGAACTGTAAGATAATGAATTGCATTGTTTTAAGCTTCTACGTTGGTGTTATTTGTTACCGCAGCCATAAGAAACTCACACCTGGTCACTGTGGCTCATCCCTTGATCAGAAAAATGTGGCAGAAGACACACTCAGAAGAGAGTCTGCGTAGGACATTTCTACATATGCCTCGAGTTCCAGACTTCCAGGATGCCGGGAAGATGGGAGCTGGTTACTGTCCCTGATTAGCTGAGGTCAAGTGTCCATACCAGGGAGGGACCCTGGGGACTAGAAGACAGTGGCACTAAGCCAAAGGGTGTCTGGGACTTCACAAAGGCTCAGTGGACACCCTGAGGAAGGGGCTGACGGGGCTGAACACTGGGCTGAGGGAAAGATCCTACAACCAGGGCAAAGTGACCATGTGACAGAAGGCACGGAGCTGTGGAGAAAGCACTGGACTGCGAGTCCACACGGAGCCTGGCACTGCTGTCCACTGGCTGCGAGGGCGCAGGTGGGGCTCTCCCCTCCGCTGGGTCTCAGTTCCTCTATACGTAAAATGAGGAATCTGCACTAGGTCACTAAAGGCTTCTTTTAAAAAAAAAAAAAATGGTCATCATGGTCATCATGGCTGGGCACAGTGGCTCATACCTGTAAGTCCAGCACTTTGGGAGGCAGATGAGGGCACATCACTTGAGGCCAGGAGTTCAAGCCCAGCCTGGCCAACATGGGGAAACCCCATCTCTACTAAAAACACAAATATTAACTGGGTATGGTGGCAGGCAACAGTAATCCAGCTACTCAAGAGGCTGAGGATCAAGAATTGATCGAACCCAGGGGATGGAGGCTGCAGTGAGCCAAGATCTCACCACTGCACTCCAGCCTGACCAACAGAGTGAGACTGTCTCAAAGAAAAAAAAAAAAAAAAAAAGATAATCATAGTAACAGCAAGCACTTGAGTAGAACTCACTTTACGACAGGCACCCTTCTAAGAGCTTATCAATGTAAATGGATAAATTCACAACAAATCAATAGATAGGTGTTATCATCTTCAGGTTACAGACAAAAAAAAAAAATTAAGTCACAGAGAGGTTAAGAAATTTGCTCCAGGTCACCCAGCAGGGAATTGGCAAATTCTTGGTTTGAACCTGTATACTCAGGATCCAGAGAGAACTGAGAGGAAGAGGAATAAGTTAAGGGAGATTTAACCAGAGAGGGTGTCCAGACAACTTAGAAACAGCTGAGAGAGGTGGGGAGTTAGCTGGGGGGACGGGAGGAACAGGAGCTGGAAAGGTAATTCTGAAGTCTCTTCTCACGGCACCATTGGAGCAGCTGTGGGTGTGAGGAACAGAGGAGTCGGGGAAAGGAGGGAAGCTTCTCTGTAAATGGCAGGTGCTCTGGGATCTCTTTGAGTGGCTCTCTGTGGACACTGGACCACGCTGGGCCACAGCGTTTTTTGGGCTTACACTCACTGTCTTATGATAGAAACACAGCAGAGTGCAGCTGCCGTGGCTGAGGCACAGGTAGCAGGTCCAGGGGTCATCGTTTTGTCCCCCCTGTTGTTGCCGCCCAGGCCAGGCCCCACAATCATTTCTGCAGAGACCTAGGGCTTCAAGCAAGACCATTTGAAAATCACGACACCAAACGGACCTCCATTAAGTCAGTTCTCCGCTCTTCCTGGATTTGTCCCCCCTGCCAAGGTCGCAGAGAGCACACCTAGGCCAGCAGCACCTGTCATCCCCTTGCAGGCAGCTGTGGAAGGCTCACTGTCTAATCTCCCTAGCTCCTGCATCCTCACATCAAAACTCAAGCATCCGATAAGTGACAGTTCTTTTTTTTTTTTTTTGTCTTTGAGGCAGAGTCTCACTCTGTCACCCAGGCTGGAGTGCAATGGCGCAATCTCGGCTCGTCGCAACCTCCGCCTCCTGGGTTCAAGCTATTCTCCTGCCTCAGCCTCCTGACTAGCTGGGACTACAGGCACGCGCCACCATGCCCAGCTAATTTTTGCATTTTTAGTAGAGGCAGGGTTGTTTCACTATGTTGGCCAGGCTGGTCTCAAACTCCTGACCTTGTGAATCACCTGCCTCAGCCTCCCAAAGTGCTGAGATTACATGCGTGAGCCACCATGCCCAGCCTAAGTGATGGTTCTAACCAGCAAAGTGACCTTGAGCAAGCCTCCTCTCAGACCCCCAGGGCCTCGAGTATCAAACACAGTGATGAAGATAACTTACATTCAGAAGCCAAGAGCCTGGGCTTCAAACACTCTTAAGAAGATGAAGAACAGTGAACGTATAATGAGCATCTAAGATGCTGGTTTTGCAACTGCAGCCATCACTGGTTTCACTGTCCTCATTTAGCTGAGAAACTCAAGGCCCAGAGAGGTGAAGTGATTGACCAAGGACACACAGCCAAGCAGTGCAGAGTCCAAGTTCACACCCAGGCCCTGGACTGATGCCTCTTTCTCTTCACCCAGCCAACCAGCCAAGCATCAGGAGCTTGCACTGACGGTTCTGATTTGTCCTTCCCGGAACGCTCTCTCCTTCCCATGTCTTACATACAAGACAACTGAGGCTCAGAAGCACTAACTCACCTCCCCAAGGTCACACAGCCTTTCACATAGGAGCTGGGATCAGGTACGTATGTGAATCCCAAGCTCACACCTCTTCCTATTCCTGTTCCGTAATGTAGCCTCCCTGCCCCGACTCCCACCCAGGGCTCAGAGGCTAGGCTTCTGCCTGAACCTATCCCAGGCCTGGGCTGGTTAAAAACAGCAAAAAGTTCCTCCTGCCGCTTCAACTTGAGCTTGTCACCATCATCAGCGTACCCTAAGAGCCTCTGGGGTGCCTGGGGACAGATAGCTGCAGACGCCCGGCCCGGGTTGCCCTCTGCCCCTCCCGAGTTGTACTCCTCCGTGGCGGGGGTGGGCGGACAGCTCCCCTTGCTTCCTAGGTAAGGTTGGCAGAGCAGCGCCACTGCTGCTCCTTCCTGCTGCCGGCTGATGGAGAGATTATTTCTAAGCCCTTCCCATCCTCCCCACTGACTTCTCTGGCAGCCACATTGGCTGTCCCTGTCAGACCTGAAGTGCAGAGTCGGTTGCTAAAGCAGCACAGCTGCCCTGGCTCCCTCCCAGCAAGAACCCCCAGACCCTCCTCTCTCAAAAAGAAAGGGACTTCTGGGTCCTTTTAAAAAAATTCCACCTCCATCCCCCAGGGCTCTTCTGCAGCTGCTAGAGAGAGATGCAGAATGAATGAACTTCTGGCTTTTGGAGGAGGCACGGAAGGAAGACTGGAGAGTAACTCTGCCAGAAACTGCTGTTTGTGGGATTGTTTCCTTCGCCTTCATCTCCACGACAAGCCTGTCCTTGCCCTGGGCACCAACACATGGGCTCCCCTTGCCGGGCACAGAAGCAGCTGGAAACAGTTTCCCTGAGACGAGAGGGTAAGTGAAACTTGAGGGGAAGAGTTAGCACTTGCTGCAGGGCGTTGCAGGGTGAGGTGGGGGCTGAGGCTGTTAAACTCCCTTGGCAAAAATGCTGTTTTGAGTGAATTTCTTTCCCATGCTCTGGAAGGGGCTGTTTGCCAGCTGTTTGGGAAGGTGTAGATCAAAATTGGGTTTATTCCGTGAATGCAGAAAGGGCAGTCTTCAGGCTCTGGAAGGAGCCCAGGCTGGGGGACAGAGTGCTGGGCTGGATTTGGATTTGCTGTGTGATCTTGGACAAGTTACTTCAGCTCTCTGGGTCTTCGTTTTTGTACTGGGAAAATGAGGAAGCTTGCAAAGGACTCCCCAGATTTCAAAATACTCCTCTCTCTGCAGGCTCCTCATCCTTCTCTGGCCATCCTCTGTGAGTGAAGTAACGCATGCAGAACCACAGAAGGTTGTGTGGGAGGAAAAGGGCGCAGCAGGCTGCGATTCACTCTCCACTATCCACCGGAATCCAGCCGGCTCTGAAACGGAGAGGAACTTTGATTTCCATTCAGCTGCCGAGTTTTTCTCTTGATTGGAGTGGAGTGCCTCTGAAAATGTAAGCTTACAGATGCTTTGGAAATGGCTCGAGCTAGAATGAATAGTGTAAGAAATGGTTGTAGGACCTGTAAGTGACAAATACTGTGGAAAGGGCTTTTTAAATGTGTGGATGGGCTAAACCTAAAACACTTGTGCTAAGTCAAGCAACTCAAATAGGTCTGAAATGGAGGCAGTAGTAGAGGCCCCTTTATTTCTTTTTGTCTTTTTGAGATGGAGTCTTGCTCTTGTTGCCCAGGCCGGAGTGCAGTGGTGCAATCACGGCTCACTGCAACCTCTGCCTCCCGGGTTCAAGTGATTCTCCCGCCTCAGCCTCCCGAGTAAGTGGGACTACAGGCATGTGCCACCACACCCAGCTAATTTTTGCATTTTTAGTAGAGACCGGGTTTCGTTGGCCAGGCTGGTCTCGAACTCCTGACCTCAGATGATCCACCTGCCTTGGCCTCCCAGAGTTCTGGGATTATAAGCATGAACCATGGCACATGGAGCCTCCTTCATTCTGCAGAAAAAAGACCACAGGCCCAGAGAGGGGGAGTAACTAGCCAGAGGTCACACAGCAAGGCTGGCTGAGGCAAACACGCAATGAACATGGAGGAGTACTGTGATTGCAAGTATGCAATGCTCTTCCATCCTCCTAGTAAAGTCCTCCCCAAATGAGTAAGCAAACAGAGGGATTAAGTGGGACTGGCAGAGTTCCTCCTGAGACCTAGATGCTTAGATGCTGTGCTAAGGACGGTCACATTCCTGGTCTCCTCATACCTTTAATAACAGACCCTGGCTGAACCTTCTTGATGCCAGGTCCTTGCTAAACAGTGGGCAAGACACACAAGCTTTCTGTGCCTCGGGCTCCTCATCTGTCAAATGGAGATCTTATGTCTATCTCATGAGGCTGTTGGGGTAAATTAGTTAGGGGAAGCCAGGCATGTCAGAAGCATCTAGAAGTGTTATTAATACACGCTTTCTTGTATATTACTGCATATAACCCTCGCCGTGCCCTACAATATGGGCACTCAAACTGCCCCAGTCATAGAGATAAAGCAAAGAACTCAGAGAGACTGCGTAACCCACCTGCACTGGCAGTCTGTAAGGGATTGGTCCCTGCCAGTGAACTCGACAGCCTACACTGTTAAGCTCTGTTTTTATCACCTGTACCTTGCAAGATTGGCACAAGTCTTGTCATTTGAATGAATGATGCTGAGATCAGAGAGGCTAAGCCACATATCTGAGATCAGACAGCCCAGAAGTGGCACCACTCTGACTCGTCCAGCTCAGGACTCAATTACTCAAGTCCTATTCCATGCAATGTCTGTTTTGGAGACATTCTTCTGAAATATCAGTAGATGCTCCACCAGGGAAGGGTTTGGTTCACTGATATATCCCAAGTACATAGTAGGTGCCCAATAAATATGTTTTGAACTAAAGGTTAAAAGAACGAGCCGGGCGCAGTGGCTCACACCTGTAATTCCAGCACTTTGGGAGGCTGAGGCAGGTGGATCACAAAGTCAAGAGTTCAAGACCATCCTGGCCAACACGGTGAAACCCCATCTCTACTAAAAATACAAAAATTAGCTGGGTGTGGTGGTGCGCCTGCAGTCCCAGCTACTCAGGAAGCTGAGGCAGGAGAATTTCTTGAACCTGGGAGGCAGAGGTTGTAGTGAGCTAAGGTCCTGCAGCTGCATTCCAGCCTGGTGACAGAGCGAGACTCCATCTTAAAAAAAAAAAAAGAGCCAGGCAGATGCAGGTGCAGGAAAGCAAGTGTAAGAACATCTGCATTCGTGACATCCAGGACTCTCTGCCCCAAGACTGATTTCCCTCCTTTTTCTTGCTCTTTGTCCCTTGCGTGGCAGACTGGTGAACCCAGCGCTTCCCTGCTGGGCGGTCTTCAGCGATGCCCATGCCTTCCAGAGACCGGGGCCTGCATCCCAGATACCACCACTGTGCCTCCCACAGCCCGTGGAGTCAGCTCCTGTCCAGCCCCGTGGAGACGCCGTCCATCAAGGGCCTCTACTACCGCAGGGTGCGGAAGGTGGGCGTCCTGGAAGCCTCCCCGGTGGACCTGAAGAAGGAGATCCTGATCAACGTGGGGGGCAGGAGGTATCTCCTCCCCTGGAGCACACTAGATCAGTTCCCGCTGAGCCGCCTGAGCAAACTCCGGCTCTGCCGCAGCTACGAGGAGATCGCGCAGCTCTGCGACGACTACGACGAGGACAGCCAGGAGTTCTTCTTCGACAGGAGCCCCAGCGCCTTCGGGGTGATCGTGAGCTTCCTGGCGGCCGGGAAGCTGGTGCTCCTGCAGGAGATGTGCGCGCTGTCCTTCCAGGAGGAGCTGGCCTACTGGGGCATCGAGGAGGCCCACCTGGAGAGGTGCTGCCTGCGGAAGCTGCTGAGGAAGCTGGAGGAGCTGGAGGAGCTGGCCAAGCTGCACCGGGAGGACGCTCTGCGGCAGCGGAGGGGGGCCCGCCGCCCCGCCTCGCAGTCCTCGCGCTGGGGCCTCTGCATGAACCGCCTGCGCGAGATGGTGGAAAACCCGCAGTCCGGGCTGCCCGGGAAGGTCTTCGCTTGCCTCTCCATCCTCTTCGTGGCCACCACTGCCGTCAGCCTGTGCGTCAGCACCATGCCCGACCTCAGGGCGGAGGAGGACAAGGTGAGTGGCCTCTGATGGGGCCCCATGGCTCCATCTGCCAGGGTGCCTGGGCCGAGATGTCTTTTCCGGGCCCACGAAAATGTCTTCGTGTTTTAAAATAAGAAGAAAAAAATGAATATTATCCAATGTGGATTATATTCATTTTAGACCATCAATCATAAAAGATCACTTTTAATTTTTTTTTTTTTTTTTTTTTTTTTTTTTTTTTTTTTTTTTTTTTTTTTTTTTGTCCTACAAGGGCTAAAGGGCCTAAGGCTCATCATGGGAGTCACTCTGTGGCTCTCAGCCACACGTGGACTTGGCAGGCCAGACAGACCCAGCCTTGCCTCTCCCAGCTCTCCCCACTCGGTGACTATAGGCAAATCCCTCCATCTCCTCTCTGAGCCTGTCTCCTGCTCTGTGAAATGAGTAACCTCACCACGAAGGTTCACTCACCAATGAACTCAACACGTGTTTACCAAACAGCACTGTGCCCTAGGCCCTAAGACCAGGTCAGAAACATCAAATCCCTGCCTTCTTGAGCTAACGTTCTCCTGGGCATCCCCACTCCATTTTCAGATGAGGAAGCTGAGGGACAGGACATTTATTTTCATTGGAGCTGCATAGTAAGGACACCAGTGATGCAAAGGTCCCCAGGCCTCAGTTTCCCTGCAGTGCTCAGTGTCTTGGCCAATGTCAGTGAATGGGAAACCCACAGATGAGCTGATTTGTAAGCCGCCTCGCCCCAGGGCTTGCCCCCAACTTCATCCCCTTTCCAGGGAGTTACGGGAGACCCCGAGACACCCTGCCTCCGCCCAGGGACCAGATGGTCTGAGAAGCGATATAAGAACCTAGCATTTTACGGAGAGGGTTATTGGAAAGCTTCAGACAGAGAACTGGATTGTTTCCTGATTTAAAACATCACTCCTCTCCTGCATCGAGCTCCTCCAGGGCTCCCCATCATCCTAACGTCTGGAGCTCACCTTATAATCAGCAGAGAGAGAAGCTAAACACACATGTAAGATGGTGCATGCTCTGTTTGGTTCAGGACAGTTGCCAGCCCAGCTAAGTTCCCTTTCCTTCAAGATAGGTCCCAGGTCAAGACAACAGGATTGGAGAACTTGCCAGGTAGAAAGGACTTCAGCGGAGAAGCGGCCCAAGCCTCACACAGTAGGATAAGTACAGGTTGAATAAAATGTGCCTTGTCTGACCTACAAACGTTTTGCCCTAAAGAAAAAAACCCTACAAAATATCTGGATCTTTAAACAGCTCGTTTTCTCATGGAGAAGACAGAAAGTCCTATCACAGGCATGTTTTCATTCTATAGCATAAAAGCATGTGATTTCAGAGCCTGCTCGCTCACAGAATATTTATGTACAGACTCTGCGGTAAAAAGATTAAGACAAAACAAACGACTTTCCTACCCCATTTCTCAAGGATGCCCCGATCCCAGTTAATAAAGAAAGGCCCCCGGACGCCCACAAGCCTGTTCCTCTTAGGGATTTCCAGAGAGGGGATCAGTTGTGTAGGAGCCAGGGTTTCAGTTGTGCAGAGTTTTTTCAAAACCTAATGCTTTGAAAATTACGAAGGGTATGAACCCAGACCCGGCTTAACAGTGACTCAGAAAATGAAATTAGAGATGGGAGGTGGGCCTGCAGACCTGGGCAGCCCAAAGTTTCAGCCAAGGATCACGCAGCCAGCCACGTTTCCTCCTGGGATCAGAGAGATTTCTGCCCAGGCCCAGCCACGACATCCTTATGCTTTCTCCTTAGTGAAAGCGCCTTTGTGTGTGCTGCCTGGAGACAGACAGAGGTGCAGCCGGGAGAGTGTGTTCCTGTTTAGATAATAATTCAGGGAGCAGGGAGGCTGAGGACGGGGCAGTCTTTGTTCTTCCAAGACTGTGACCTTCCATTTACGTAAGAGGATGATGTCCTCTTCCTGGACACACGTGCTCTCTATTCCATATTTCCCCTCAGGGAATGTCAGTCTGAGAGGGGCCAGCTGCTTCTGGGCACAGGCAGTGCCTGCTGGGTGTGGGGCCAGCGTCCCGTGACCCTGAAGATGTCCTGTGACCCATTAATTCATCCGTGCAGATGAATTAATGTCACAATGGTGGGGTGTGGAGACAGACCCCAGAGCTATATAACCCACAGAACTCCTCCATCAGAAAAAGAAGCAACGGGTGGGCATTGGCAGGAAGCGGTTTTCCGTTTTCTTTTTCTGTCTTCTCATAGCAATGTCCCTTGTAGTAAATCTGATAGTGGAGTAAAAGGTCTATTCCCGAGATTGCAAATTACAATGGAGGCCGAGCGCCGTGGTTCATGCCTGTAAGTCCAGCTGTCTGGGAGGCCAAGGCGAGTGGATCACCTGAAGTCAGCAGTTCGAGACCAGCCTGAACAACATGACGAAACCCCCTCTCTACTAAAAAATACAAAAAATTAGCCAGGCATGGTGACAGGCACCTGTAATCCTACCTACTCGGGATGCTGAGGCAGGAAAATCACTTAACCCCATGGATGAAGGTTGCCGTGAGCTGAGAGATTCTGCCACTGCACTCCAGCCTGGGCAACAAGAACAAAACTGCATCTCAAAAAAAATTACAATGGAGAAGGGAAGAGGCAGTGTAGACAGGAAGGGCCAAGCCAGTGCCTGAGTTCTTCTAAGGGGCATTGGATTTTAAGGTTGTGGATTTCCCTGGGGGACTCATCCCCAAAAGGATGAAAGAATCCACGCTTCCTAAGTGCCCCCCGGGAGGCTGGCATTTCACATCATGGACTGACTTCAGTATCACTTCTGCCTCCATTTTACAGATGAGGAAACTGAGGCTCAGGGAAGTTTTTTATCACTTTCTTAAGCTCACAGTAAGTGGCAGAGCTGAGATTTGAACTCACCTTTGATTGGCTCTAAAATCCGACCCCATATGACCACACGACACTGATATCATCTTTCTTTCTTTCCTTTTCCTTCCTTCCTTCCTTTCTTCCTCCTTTCCTTTTCTTCTTTCCTTCTTTACTTCTCTCTCTCTCTCTTTCTCTCCCTCTCCCTCCCTCTCTCTCTCTCTGTTTCTTTTTTTAAATTTGAGACAGGGTCTCAGTTTGCCACCCAGGCTAGCGTGCAGTGGCATGATCTTGGCAGCTCACGGCAGCGTAGATCTCCTGGGCTCAAACGATTCTCCCACCTCAGCCCCCAAGTAGCTGGGACTACAGGTGTGCGTCATCACACCCAGCTAGTTTTTTGTATTTTTCTAAGAGACAGGGTTTCCCATGTTTCCCACGCTGATCTCGAACTCCTGAGTTCAAGCAATCCACCTGCCTTGGCCTCCCAAAGTGCTAGGATTACAGGCATGAGCCACCATGCCCACCCCTATCTTTCGATTCTGGAACATTTCACCTCAGCCTCGGTGCCACTGTGTTTCTGAGACAGCCGGATGTCGTAAAACAGCTCTCAGGCCAGCCCTGGCTGAACCTTGGCCTCACCCATGACTAATGCAGTGATCTTGGTCAAATCACTTAACCTCCCTGGGCCTCAGTTTCCTAATATGTGAAATGGGGGTGCTCTAAGTGCTTCCCTCAAAGGGTCATATGATACAGAAAGCAGCTGGGACAGTGCCGACACACAGAAGTGCTCAGTGAACGTCCCTCATTGTGGTCCTCATTCGTTCATTCATTCATTCACTCATTCATTCAGTAGTAGTTAACAGGAAACCAAGCATTCATCCTTTCCAAAATTCCTTCAGCAACAGTCACTGAATTCCATTCTTCTGGGTGCTGGAGAGAACACACATTTCTTACTTTCTTATTTCCTTGGAGCTTAGATTCTGAGCAGCCCTGCTTTTTTTGTTGTTTTTTAGACTGGGTCTCACTCTGTCACCTAAGCTCGAGTACAGTGGCCCAATCTCAGCTTACTGCAACCTCTCCCTCCCAGACTCAAGTGATCCTCCCTCCTCAGCCTCCTGAGTAGCTGGGACCACAGGCACGCATCATCATGTTGGCCAGGCTGATCTCAAACTCCTCAGCTCAAGCGATTTTCCCACCTCGGCCTCCCAAAGTACTAGGATTACAGGCATGAGCCACCACACTGTAGCCCCCTGCTCTATTTTTCTGAGTTGACATTCACATAACATGAAATGGACCATCTTAAAGGCAACAAATTTAGTGGCATTTAGTATAATCACAATCTTCTGCAGCCACTACCTCCTCTACCTAGTTCCAAAACTTTTTCTCAGCACTGCAAAGGAAAACCCTGTGTCAACTAGGCAATCTCTCCTCCTTCCTCTCCTGCTAGCCCCTGGCAACCAGCCGTCTGCTTTCTTGCTCCATGAATGAGCCTACTCTGGACATTTCATAGAAATGGAGTCACACCAGGAGTTGTCTTCTGGGGCTGGCTTCCTGCTTTCAGCATCATGTCTTCAAGGTCCACACACACTGGGCCATGTGTCAGACCTTTGTCCCCCTTCATGGCCGAATACTGTTCCACCGTATGTATATGTCACTACTGGTTTATCCATCTAGCACAGCTGGCCTATTCCATGTTGACAGCTGAAGACAGAAAGACACACTCCAAAGACCGACCCCCACCTCCAAGGGACAAGATGGGCTTGAGAAACAAAGTGAGGATTCTGTTCCCTCAGCTGCCACACAGGCCCCTTTCAATAGGCAGGATTCGAGATCTAGTCCCGACCCTCTTTTTTCTTTTTTTGAGACAGAGTTTTGCTCTTGTCACGCAGACTAGAGTGCAGTGGCGCAATCTTGGCTCACTGCAACCTCCGCCTCCCGGCTTCAAGCAATTCTCTTGCCTCAGCCTCCCGAGTAGCTCGGATTACAGAAGCATGCTACCATCCTCAGCTAATTTTTGTATTTTAGCAGAGTCAGGGATTTACCATGTTGGCCGGGCTGGTCTCGAACTCCTGAGCTCAGGTGATCTGCCCACCTCAGCCTCCCAAAATGCTGGTATTACAGCCATGAGCCACTGCACCCAACGCTGACTCTCACTTGATGCACTGGAAGATCCAGGGCAGGTCA